CCAAGGACGTGGAACGCAATGCGCTCGCGTGACACTCGTTTTCCAGCGATTTGCTCCGTCGATTTAGGAATTTGCATGAACAACGCTGAACGCTGTCGCGAAACGAACCGCTTTTCATCGGGAATAAGCCGTCGAGTTTAGACCGGCGCGGCCTTAATACGACTTTAATGCACCTCTCAACCGGTGCGGCGCCCCTTTCCTCGCCGTTTCCTGCTCGCCTGACCGAGTCATCCTACCTGTTACTTTGCCTGCTTGCCTGCCTGCCTTCTATACACCTCTACGCACACGCCGAGGTGTCTCACGATTTTTCGACCACCCCCGGTTTCCATCTTGCGAAACGCGGTAGACGTCCGGTGAAACCGGAATTTCACCGTTCGGACAGGTGATCTGGAGCAAGCTCCGAGAATTAAGATCCGCGTTAACGAGATTTGCAAACAAGATGAAAAGCAAACTTTTTGATTGATGATTATCATTCTTATACCATCATTTATTGTTGCGATTTCGTATTTGAAATAAATTTTTTAGAAATCATGTCGGATGTCTTAAAAATCAAAGCCTATTTCCGATTACTTGACTATCAATATTGCGATTATGGCAAGTCGACTCAGTGTACAAAATCGCGATCACTAATTACCGCAATCTCTCTGAAGATTTTTTGTATAAATTTTGTGCACACAAAATTTCATTCTATGCCTCATATTATTATCTATCATTTTTACATCGTGATAAAAATATCTGATTCATCGTCTAATCAAGCATGATTTCAATTTATTTAGGTGATTTTAACCAGGCAGAAGTATGGCGAAGAATCGAGAGATGTAGGAGATCAGCATGATGGCACGCCGAGTGTGGCGTAGCGGCGGCGCGGCGAGAAAAGATTATAGGGTTCACCGTCGTAAATTCGTTATCTCCGCACGGGTAGGGACGTTGAATCGGCCCGGTGGTTAACGGTATCCAAAGATCCACGCGAATTTCAAATATCCACGCGAGAGCCGCATCCGACGATCTCTCCTTGTTAAGTCGGCTCGTGTTCACCCGAATTTACACGCCTCGCTCTCGACTGGACAATGAGCAGTCGGCTCCGCGACCGAAAATCCAGAGCGAGCTTCAACTTATCCGACTTGTTCACTTTTATTCAAACGATCCATTGTATTCAGAGTGTAGATATATTGATAAAGAACGAAATAAAGTACGAAGAATATGATAGAATATCTTAACAGTGATAATAATTACAATTCGAGTATTTTGGTAGAGGCTACGTCTTCTGAATAATTTGTTTGCTTAATCCAAAGCGGTAGCGGCTGCGTAACTTTGTGCGACATTCCTCGAGATCGCATCCGCCAAAAATTTATGAAGAAAGAGCTCGCGGATGGAAATGGAGGACGCCGGGCCACGATCACGGTCAACCAAAAAAGAAAAAAAAAAGAAACGGAAAGATAATCGAAATGAAGTTAGAGAGAGGGCGAGACCACGCGTTCTTTCACGTACGGCTCCTCGCGATGAACGACGCGCGGGATTTCGTATGCCGAAGAAAGAACACGGGAATTCCTCTTTCTTTAGTCCCCTCTGCCCCGTGTCAGAGATAAAGAGAGAGAGAAGCTGAGCGGATGTTGAGACGACTTTAAATGCATCCTGCGTGCCGCCTCTTCTCCTCTCTTTTTGTTCCTTCTCTCATTGTCCTCCGGTTCTACCGTTGTTACTTATACATACATAGGGTACTCGCCTCTCTGTTTTTTTTTTTTTTACTTTTTCGCTTTCGTTATTCGGTGAAACGGCCTTTTCTCCTGAATCGGGCAAAAAATGCGGTAATAAGCTGGATCGGGTTTTGAAATTAAGGCGACAGGCATATTTGCGGGTAAATGGACACGTAACCGCGAACGAGTGCTCGTTGATGCGAAATTACAGAGTTTTTCTCTACACATTCGAATGATGACCGCAAAAAGTAGCGGATCCTTAGTACTCGAGGTGCTGATCCCTTTTTTCCCCCGTCGACTTTAATGCAAAATTTGTTTTCGAGATGCTCAGAAGCTTAAACGACACTCAAGGAACAATTTCATTACCAAGTCATCTTACGTTTCCTATTATCTTAATAATGCATCTGATTTCATATATGTAGAAGAAAGATTATTCATTATTTAGCCTGTGTAGTTTTCTTAACGCAAATACTTTACACTAATTTTAATATAGATATAATACAAATAACCGTTTAACTATTGTTCAAATCAATACGATTTTATTGTAACAACTATGCAGGTGTCCTTAATATTTCCAACTAATAATTCGCTGAACATGATTTCACGTCTTTCCTCAGATACGATCCATTTCCGACTCTCTCTCTGTACAAGCTCTCATTCCTCGAGACTCAACTCGGCTTACATCGATATCGATCAAATCGTTACGCAACTCGTCAATCGGTGGCCCAACACACATTAATACAATTTACGTTAGTACACCTGCAAGTGTAAGTTTATAACAAATATTGAAGAATGTAAAAAAAAATGGAAACGTGCTTATTCGATATTTAAAATGCAAACCGAACTTTCTCACGCGATAGGCCGGATAATGTTTATCCGGCCTGGTTTCCAACGAATCACGGTTAATTGCAACAGTTTCCTTGCTAAATTAACTGGACGATTGCGTGAAGGAACGTCCGGCACCGAAAAATGGGCAGTTTCTCAATTTTCAGAGCCCAGAGCGGTGCCCGCGGGACCACAAATCACCGTTTGCGGCCGGCCTCCGCGTACCCGCTAATTACTAATTAGCAATTAGGCTCAGGCGTGCGTTCGGGCTGCTTTTCTAGGGCAGCCTCAGCTGAAATCATCGCGTTCCAAGCCTAATCGCCGTGTTCGTGCTGGACAAGCCCCTCGTCTAATTGTCTCCGCGTATTACGCACCTCCACGCTGTACAGGGTGTCCTAGAAAAAGTTAGATCCGAAGATAGGTGATTCTGTAAATCTTTCTGAACAACAATTTTTTTTGGCAAAATGCAAAGTGAGGCATGACTTTTGAATTATTAACAAAAACCATTGAACAATAAGAGTACATGTAGGGTTCGCGCTGAGCCACGACCCGAGCCAACATATCCATGGCTGAGTGCGAGCTCTACACGTGCTCTCGTTGGTCACTGTTTTTCGTTAATAATTACAAAATTATGCTTCACTTTGCATTTTGCCAAAGAAAATTGTTGTTCAGAATCACCCCTTTTCGGTTCTATCACTTTTCCTGGGACATCCTGTATACGTCAGACTCGGAACCGAGTACACAGTACTGACTTAAATACCTCATATTACTTTTTCGCAGGGAATTCTATACAACATGAACAAAATAACATAGATATATAAAATGATTAAATGCAGGTATGTTGTAAATATTTAGCCTCTGATCTACCGCAAACCATTTATTAATTGTGGCTACACACTCGGGGCTATTCGTGTGGAAACCGGGATATATTTACAACAAGTGTGCATGTCAGTATAAATTAAAGTGCAGTGAGCAAGAATTTTTACCCCAATTTCTTACTCTGACATGAGTTTTGATTGACATCAATTTTACCCGAGGCTATTCAAGTGCAGTGCACATTACTTCAAAGCATAAACTTATATACAATCTACATGTTTTTATAAAAACCAGATGAAACATGTTAATCGCGTGTAGTTGAAGTCACTTACATCAATTCGTGCAGAAGAGGAATTCGAAACTTGATCAACTACCTATAAGAAATGAATCGCTGTCTATTAAATGAGTCAACAGGTGATCAAGCAACGGAGGAACCATCGCATAAATAAAAACGACTGTTCCCTATTGGCTTATTACTTCTGGTAATGGAAGAAATAGTTGATTAATTGGACGAGCAACTATCTATGTAATGTTCGTTGAATAATTTCTGTGCTTCTGGTGTACTGGTGCGTACCGCGTACTTTATTAGTGATAATTACAGCTTTTCCGCGATGCGATATGTTTTTCTTTTTGGCCCCGGGCCGGCCTCGAATTAGCTCTCGTTAACGAGCCACGATGCTCACGAACCATTTTGTTAATACCTACGCGAAACCCGCTGCGGGCTAGAACGCGATAGAAATGTTCCTACGAATGCACTAGTTCTCATATAATTACCCGAACGATTAAGATATTTAGACATAAGCTATTATTCTCGAGACTTTCACTGAGCCAGAAGAAATGGTTTCGAAAAATTGTCAATTTTATCAACGACGTATGAATGAAATTATTACGGTAATAGTCGAATGATATACGGAAGCGTTTTCTAGACTTTCACGGAAGGAATCGGGAATTTGACCGAATGAAACTGTTACAGCAGCGGGCGAATCTGAATAACAAATGGATGTTTGACGTTTATAGATCCGCGTTCGGCGCAAGGTAGTCATTTCGCGAAGGTGTAACACGACACGGGTTGTTAGAACGTAAAATTCATTATAATCGTAACTCGAAAACGAACTGGAATAAGACGTTGCCCTACAGTGATTACGATCGACGTTATTTACTGCCAACCACAGTGCAATAAGAGGGAAAGCTTGGTACATCTATTAAAAATGTGTAACCGGATGCATGGAAATGTAACCGAATATTCATATTCATTTAGAATCGAACGTCCGGATTGTTGTTTAATAATGTTTTGGGTTTCTGTATTTTTTAATTGGTCATGTGAAAAATAATTGATTAAGTTAAAATAGAATTGAAGAATGAAGTAAACCAGAATCGGTTGTAATGTTGTTGCTGATTTCGAATAAAAATGCATGCTCGTTCGACACGATCGCGATTGTTCGGTTGTGAAACGAGGAAGAGAATTATATTGCGTTATGCTTCGATACCTAACGATTTTTCGATGGATAAGGTACAACAGCTATTTAGCTAATTTCGTTTGTATTTGTTACATACTGCAGTGAAAGTTCAATTAAAGCGTAGAAACGGTTTTCTACAAGCAATCATTTGATACATATATATATATATGTACATAAACTATAATAATCAATTTTTGTTTTGTTCTAGACGAGGCGTTTCGGAGCTGATTGTCATTCTCTGTCTTTGCCAGTCGGGTATGTGACTATTTAAAAAAAGACTACTTACATTGAATACAACATTAGATACAAAATTGATCTATCTAACAAATAAAAAATTGATCTATCTATTCCATTCACTCGACCGTTGATAATATTCGAACTCCTAGCAACTATATCAAAACGTATTTGAATACACCGAGGAATCACTGTATTCAATTTCCTGCCAGGTTGAAAATGCTCGGTTTCTGCTTGGGATAACAAAATCGGTGCAACAACGTTCGCACGCAGCAAAATTACATTCCACGTTGGGTAGGCGTTACACGGTTTTCATCTTGCCGACCCACCGCGAGCATACTAGTAGCTCTTCTCCTGCTCGTATCTGTTGCAAACTACCGGTGTAGCTGCGCGTCCGATCCCGATGGTACCGATATTTGTACGCGTGTAACCGGGTGCTCGTGTACTTGCCAGGTTGCTTCACGCGATACCGTGCTAGATTTACCACAGTCGACCGGTGTGCACGGTCTATGTTCAACTCCGGACAGTAAATACTGGTTTCACAAGCGCGCTACGCGTACAGATGCGATCGACTTCAATTTGTACTTATAAATCCGAGCTTTTCGTTTCGTACACCCGACGTTCCAACGAAACGAATAAGGAATCTTCAGCACGGAATTCGACCCCGGCGTCCAACTTTTGTTTCACTATACGTGCCTTAACGATAAATTAACTGATAAAAACTGTGTATACATGTATAATGCATTATGATATAGATTGATTAAGATTTTATTAGACGATATGATGATGCTGCTAAGAAAACTGAAAACATTTTGCATTTCCGGATAACTGAACTGATCACACGAAACGAGATAGCCGATTAACCATTGGAGATCGCATCGACTTCTTGTCTTGTTAAATCCTTCAGATCTCAAGTAATTCCGCAGATATTAAATCTGAATCTGTTAGGGTTTATGCACTGTATACATTCTCGGTCACTGATTGACACCTTATCTCGCTATCTATCGATCCAAACGTGTATTTGTCTTCTTATTAAGGATTGGCCTCTATCGATCTTGATTTGTCTATCTATAACGCAAAATTCAAAGCCTGTCAGTCGTATATTCGACGTGATAGAAAGATTAGACATCCTTTCACGTAAGTTTCTTCTCGAGGCAATAAAAACATTAATTAAATGATATAGATTGCTCCAACATCGAGTAGCTTGTTGTTAGAAATATTTTACCTTTTACCGATCAGAAATCATGTTCGATTAAATTTACTTCTCAATCGAGAATTGATGCTTAAAGTAATAGGAGATACGAAGGAGTTGCGTTACAACGAATTTCTAATATAAGATGATCAGCACCATCCATCCTCCACGCTTTTTAAGTTTCTTTGTTCGAGTACATAATTCTAATGGATTTATATAGGTCCGTTCAAACGTTCAATATTAGAATTTCAATTTTATTCTTATTTCATACTTGGTATTCTTAATTAGTTTCGTGTTCCTACGTTTAATCAAAAGGCACTCGTCAATGGTAATAGCAATACGGTTCCACGAGCTGTCAGTGCCGCGCTGTGGGATAAATCGCACAGTCGACGGACGAACAGCCAGCAAAACTCGAGCAACGGCTCGAGGAGGAATCGTGAGCGTGGAGTGACGTGGGATCATTTATCTGTAGGACACGGTTTGCCGAGCGCGATGCGAGGGGATGCTCGATAAACTGCGTTATTTATTACGCTCCTAAAGCGCAACTCGCGTCGGATTAGGATTTTTTAGTTTTCTGTTGCCTTCCACGAGTTGAAGAAAAACTCCTTGATTTATGAGAAATGAAACAGGCGAGGGAGTTGTAATCTTCGGCCACCACCGTTTCTTTAGTTAAAATTCTTCAGTCTCTTCTTTTATAAACCTGACACACCTCTTAATGTGATAGTAATGTTTTTGTTATTAAACGATAATAGAACGATTGTTTTAATATAATTTTATTATGTACTTTCGAATGCTTCTAATATTAAGTTATCAAATTCTATTAATGTGAAATTTGACGTGATCAAACGCGACGGCTAGCATGATCCCGTGGTATTTACAATTTGATTCATAGGTGGTAGATTTCACAAGGAAGTGTGCTAGGTTGCTTCAATCATGCAGTATCACCAATTTATCATGTGAGTAAGATGACACTCTGCAATGACCGTTAAGATTGATGTCCACCGCGAACCATCGCGTTAAAAATATCGCTTTACCAGTACTTTGTGAAGTAAAAGTACAGCATTAGGAGACATAAACATTTTTTTCAAACATCATGCAGTGCACAACCGTTTGACAAATGAGCTTGCATACAGGCTTTCGCATTTCCTGTCAGAACAGCAACTCTGCGAATTCACTTTAATCTTTAGAAAAATATGAACTACTGTAGGAATGAAATAACGGTTTGGAAATTTTGAGAATAGCGGAACGGCCAAAAAAATCGTAAACAGCCGCGCGAACAACAGCGGATCGCGGAGCGTTAATTCGAACGAGTGCGTGTGAGTGTGAGTAGAAGCGCGACGCGATTAGTCGATTTTAATATTAATACAGTCAATCCCAAAAGTTTATGCACTTTAGAAACGCATTTTTTAAAAAGAAATCAGACGTCGGACGAACATTGCTAATAATAAACAACAACAAAAAATTTTC